AAAATAATACTTCATTATACTTTTCTAAATATTTTAATTAATAATAATTTTTCACTGAATTTTTCTACTCTCTTAATAAAATATTATCGAAATATTAATGAAATTATAATGAAATTTTAATGAAATTGGATTAAAATTGTGAATGCTTTTCAAAAGCATTTCAGCAAAAGTTCATTATATTTTCAATAAATTATTTCTATCAGATATCAGAAATATCTCAATTGAGATCTTACATGCGAATTTTTGCAGAAACCACATTTGAGAATTCAATTGAGAATTCAACTGAGAATTGAATTGGGAATTCTATTGTTATCTTAACAGAAATTTTTCAGTAGGGCAATAATCAAATTTTAACATACAACGTGCTCGCAAAAGAGAAAATATTCCTTCTTTCTCTCTCACAATATTTTGGTAAAGTTATAATTAGATTTTTTTGTAAAAATTCTAGTTTTACAATATCGTGATAATGATCCTTGCATATATTTAATATCACATTTTATATACGAAAATCACCGAAAATATAATTTTATATTTGTGTATAAAAATATTGCTTAACTGAAATGTAATGCAAACATTAGAACTCTTATAATAACATTATATTAAAGTTATGTTGCTGTAATATTTTTGGTGTAACTTAACCAATAAATAACATAACAGTTTTATAACATAGTTATATCGCAGTTATAAAGGAAATTAAGTAACCTCAATATTAATAACATATAACAGCAGTTATATTAAGCCAGCGGTACACGATGCTTGTTTTCGTGTTGGTTTGCTTGTTGTATGGAAATACTCTGTTCTGATTGGTGCATTTTTGAAGATGGATGGAAATGCATCAATCAAAACAGAGCATCTTCATCCAGTAAGCAATCCAGCACGAAAACAAGCACCGTGTGCCGTGTGGTTTTACATGTCACTCCTGTGTTATATCACAGTTATGTTCTATGTTTACTGGGTATCACCATGTGATATGCAGATATTAAAAGCATTTACGTTGCTAATTCTGTTTTGCTTTACTAAGTTCCTTCTTTTGCCGTTGTTTGGTCCTGGCGGCGCTACAGATGTTGACAGACGCTTATGGCTTCTGCACACAGGACGCGGTAATACTTGCCGCGCGGCAAAAGTCCGCACGACAGCCAATCAATATGTTGTTTTTCCGTAAGAGCTAGAAGATTATTACGGAAAGCAGTATATTGATTGGCTGTCGCACGAACTTCCGCCGCGTGGCAAGTATTACTGCGTCCTGTGTGCATTAGAATCACCGTTAACATAGTTATATAGTCAAAAGGTTATGGTGCCAATACATGGGAGCGTTCTAGCGTTGTGCGTTAAAGCGTTAGCCAATCAACGTATCAGGTCCCAGAAGTAAACTTGTAGTTCTTGCGGAAAGTTGCACGTTGATTGGCTACCGCTTTAACGCTCGACGCTCGATGCTGCCATGTAAAGGTACCTTTAGATCTCAATGGTGTATTGCAGGATTTACAACGCGTCCGATGTCCGACGTACGACGTCCGATATCCAATAAAAGAATAGCTTTCCAATGGAGAATTGAATTCTCTATTAGTAAGCTGTTCTCCTATTGGATATTGGACGTCGTATATCAGACGCGGTGTGAATCCTGCATATGGACATACACCTATACACAGAAGCAATGGCTGCATTCAGCAGACTCAACAGTTGCACAACAGTTGAGTAATTTGTCAATGTAATTGGTCTAGATTTAGGGATCTAATAGCAAGAACCAATAATCGTTGATTGCTCACTGAGCGCTTTTTCTACTGAATGCCCAATGCTTCATGCTTGCGTCGTACGAGGTCTCTAAAGTCAACTCAAGATTTGTTAGTCTCCTGTAGATCTTTAAAGTTTAGGTGGTGAAGTTGTTATAAAGTTGCATATAATTGTTTTAAAAGTTCAACATATTGTATGATATTAAATATGACGTCTGTACTACAATCATTATCATTTTTTTCTATTAAGAAAAAAAGATATTTACTTATTAGTGACATAATTAGGCTATCTAAGTATAGAATTCATACGTCAAGATGTAAGTATGTATAGTATAAATACTTATATTATTATATGCATAAACATTTACATTACTAAACTTGTAAAATGATAACAATTATTTTTTTTACAGGTATGCTTCATGGTGAATATGAAATGCTGGATCCTAAAACAGAAGCTGATATGTAGGTAAACTAAATATATATTTACAAATTTTAGTTGTATATAATATATAAAGTTAAAATAAATCTTCAGTATATGTTTAATCTTACCGATATTTTTTAATTTGCATATTGTGTATATGTAATATTATATGAATCAATTTAAGAAATATTGCTCTTATGTTATTTTTTAAATAATTATTTTTGAATATAGAGACAATAGAGTAGGTTAAATTAGATTAACATGTTTCATGCTGCGTGAGTTAGATTGTGTGAACTTTTTCTTCAGGCTTTAATATTTTGATTTTAGAATGAAACATAAGGTCTGTTCTTTCTCAAAAAAACTTCCTGATTTGGCATATTCTGATGCAATAAGTTAGAACGAAACAAGATATACTTACTTTTCTCTAACTTATTACATTAATATATACTAGTTCAAGAATTTTTACAAAAAACAGACTTATAATCATATATATATATATATATATATATATATATATATATATATATATATATATTTTAACAACTAAGTACATCTATTGTCTAGCAAATAGTAACATAACAATATGGGTTACCCATATTGTTATGTTACTATTTGCTATAGTGATTTATACAGCATAGATAGCTTAGAAGACAAAATTGATCTAACATATTGGAGATGTACACACAATGTTAATAAACTATAGTAATAGACAATTATATTACTTAGTTACCTTATAATGTATTCTTTATATAATACTGAATATATAATAATAAAAACTGAATATATAATAATGAAAACTACTGAACTTTATGTTAGTGCTGGATATATAATTATAAAAACCACTGAACTATATAACAAAACTATATAACTTGAATGAATGCTTTTGTTTCTCTCTATTGACTTTGAACCGAAAGATTTCTAAATAGAATCTATGTGACAGTCTTTCACGTATAATCTCAACAAAAAGTAGGACGATATATAATCTATATGTCTCAGGTCTCAAGTCACTTAGGTCACTGTTCTATTAGAGAAGTCTCCTCAAGAAGAAAACTGAAATACTCAAAACGTGGAAAACAAATCCATGAAGAATGCAGCACCAACCCAGAAGCTAAACCAAGTATATACAAGACCGTAGTATGTTAGTGAAAAAGAGAAGGTGATTCTCATTAGAGATAGTCTTCCTCTTACATTTTGGTTTACTTTTTAATATTCGTCAGACTAATATTTATCCCAATTTATCTTATAGTTCAATAATGAAAACATAATTATTGAGAAAGTTAATAATAGTTAATAGATTCAATGTACGTGCTCTGTAATGCACAGGATATGAAAACTTAATGAAGTCGTTTCTGGATAATTATGAAGGAAAGGCCCGACCTCATCGATTTTGTTAAAATTTGGTAAAATAGTGTATTTTGACGCGTAGAAACCGAATCTGGAAGCCAAAATCGTCGCTCTTCACGGTGAAGCGAGATATTGATAAAATTGATCACTTTAAGGTTAGGAAAACTGTCATATTGACGATAACGGCGACATGGTTCGTGACCTCATGGGGGGGTTCGAGGGGGCTTTCAGGCTTCCCGGTTTGACAAAAATAACATTCTAAAAAAAAAAAAAAAAAATTAAAATGCATCTCGCATGATATATTTGCGTATGTTTTTGCGGTCCCCATAAGGCCTCGGGTCTTAAGATACGGGTCCGTAAACATATTCGTACCCGTAACCATAAACAAAATCGAGTCGTGATTGGTCGTGATATATATATATATATATATATATATATATATATATATAT